TTAAAATCTCCTCCTAGAACCCATGGAATGTCCCACTCCCCCATAACATTTGCTAGTTCCTCCCAGAAAAGTACCTTGGACCCTTCTCCTACCGGTCCGTACACTCCCCAAATCCCCACTCCACTCCAGTCACCCTATCTTTTACAAGAGCCGCTAAGGAAAAGCCTCCCTTCTTGACCTCCTTTACCTCCAAACTTCTATCATCCCACATAAGAAGAATACCCCTTGCACTTCCCGTTGATGGGACCCGGTCATATTTTACCCAACTACCTCCCCAAACACTCTAACAATTGCGTCCGACACGACTTCCATTTTGGTTTCCTGAAGACAAACTATGTTGGCACCCCTCTCTAACTCCCACCTTGATGATGGCCCTTTTGTTTGGGTCATTCATCCCCCGCACATTCCATGAAAGGATCTTAACTTCCATAAGAAACAATATCCCCTGTCTCCACACCTCCCCTTGCCGAGCTCCCTTCCTCCCTGTCGGACACCCGGCCCCTTCTGTGGTACACTACTACACCCCCATTGCTATTTAGCTTATCACCCTGACCCAACTCCCTCCTTACGCCCTGATTAAGAGACTGCTGCTCGATTTCCCTTAACAATTCTAACACCCTATCTTCCTTCCCTTCAAAAGAAACACCTAAAAACTTCCCAAAGTTTAACAGCTTATCCTCCATCTAGAAAGACATGCCTCCACCTCCCATCCGTGATGAAATTGGACACGCGTCTTCTATTAGTGCCCTTTCTTTACCCCTACCTGGGGAATACAGGACCATGGCATTGCTAGCACTAGGAATCTTATTTGCCGGAGGGATCTCACCCTTTCGTTGGGACGCACCAGCCTCTGAAGTTTTCACCCCACTACTATTAGGATGACCGTGAGGGCTAGTATTGTATCTGGTACACTGAGCCGTGTGTGTCACATTATCTGTAGATGATGGCCCGGCATTAGCTGCAGTTGGGGTCAACGCAGCAATATCCATAGAAGGCGAAGAATCATGAGGAGAATCCTCAGGACTTCTAATCACCGGAGGAGATAAGGGGGCGTCGGAGCTGGGTCCATCAGAGGCGTTAGGCTGTTGAACAACACCGCCAGCTTTGGCCGGTGCTGCCCCTGGATCAGATGGATGCAGGTCACTGGAGCTCGGTGAGGAAATGCCACTATTCGAAGCACCATTTCCAGTAGTAGAAGGAGTTGTTGTTCCCGTATGCTTAGGAGCCTTAAAGGATGCATGTTGAAATGAACTGGGCTTCTTGGGGTCAATTCTAATGGAGTTAGGAAAAGTTGTCGGTCCCGTGTGTGTTGGTCCTGGCCTTTGCTTGCTGGGAACTTTTTCGGCCCTATGATAATTAGAAGAGGACCGACCCATTCTGCCTTTCCAGCCCACGTTACTAACCCAGGGGTATTCACGTCTTACCCTTTTGTTTTTGCCTTATTCTATATTCTGCTTCTGGACTAGCCCACTGATTTCTCTCCCCACCATACATAGACAGATTACCCCTCCCCTCCCTTCTGTTTGACCTTCCTTTTTCTTCCGCCACTATTACTGGCATAAATATCGGGCGAAATTCATGGCTCAACCAAACCCTATGACTCAAGTAGCCATCTTCCACCACGGTGGAGACAAGGATTCTGCCCCCTTTCCTCACCATAATCCTCACTCGCGATAGATCATGTAGGCTGCAGATAACATCAATAAAACTTCCACAGATTTCCCCAATCTTCTTGAATTGGTCAAGACACCAAAGATGCACCGAGAACCATGTTGACCAACAGAGTTTCACCAGCAAAACGGGGGTCAAGGCACCTATCGTGCTCCACCCATCTGTCTAGCTTTAAGAAGTTCCCATCAAACCATTTATTTCCTCTGACGAGAATTTCTGAAGCTTGATAATCGTCAATAAATCGAAAGAGATATTGTGTATCCCCTAGTTGTGATATCTTTAGCCCGTCCTTGACGTTCCATGACTTTGCTGCCCAGTTCCTAACAACCTCTGGAGAACCAACCCATTTGGAAAAAGACCCAATCAGACAAGACTTCTAGAAACCCTTACGCATGAGAGTATGGTCCTCAGACAGTGAGAAATGCAGCTCCTGCCCTACATCGAGCTTTCGAGGACATCTGCCCCCAAGTTCTAGTGTTGGCCAAGAGACAGCTTTGATAAAAGACATATTTTCTAGCTTTCTTGATTCTAAAGAGAAGTATGAATTTCCCTCCGTAGAGTCCATCATTCGTAGCCTATCAGAGGGGATGATTGAAGTAAGAGAAATTGGTTTCTGCCGGAAAAAGAAGCCCCAGTCGCCGGAAAATAGTGAAAGTCGTCGGAATTCAGAGAAAAATAGATGGGTAGGCTCGGAATGGTACGGCGAGTAGGCTGTCTGAAGACGGCCAGGTCAGATCTGGCTGGGAAAGTGCTCACGCGCCGGCGCGTGGCCGGGAGATCGCCGAAAAGGGGACGCGCATGTGGGCGCGTGGGGGTACTGTTTGCCGGAAAGTTTTGCTGGGTTGGGGTCGCAGCGAGGGTGGCTCTCAGATGGTGGTGATAGAATGTTAGAAATCATGATATGTAGATGGTGGTGATAGAATGTTTCGAGTCTGACAGTGAAGGCATGACGAGCCCTTTAATCTCTTCAAATGATGGTGCTACTAACTGAGACTGACTCACTTCTTTTAGAAACAGATTTCACCAGTTCTAGCATAAGGCAACTAAGGTCTATATCATGGAACTAAATTCCCCAACCAAAAGTTAGCATTTGTGTGCATGAAATATTTGTTATTTGTGGTCCCCCGCCATCACTCAATTAAAAGGACAACTTTGGTATTTTGCATATATTTGGCTTAACTGTAAAAAGTTTTCTTTAATTTTTATATTCCGTACCCAATCAAACACCTGCATCTCAAATGGGACTGAGGAAGACTAATTTTGACTGGAGTTCTACCCTTGCATTATGAAGAGTTTGATTTGCTAAAGAATCAATTTTTTTATTATTTTTTGATGAAGTAAGGTGTTGTATTGCTGGCATCAAGAAGATGCAATTAGTACAAAAGAAGAGATGTTAGCTCCAGAATCGATTTTTTATTATTAAATGCATGTTTTCTTAAAATACTTGCCCCACCTTCTAGAGGGAGGTTTATGATACTTACTAGGTATCTTATACTCCCTCCACCTTCTTCGTGTTTACAGATCCGGAGAACTATCACGGCACTACAGCTTAAGCACCAGTTCTTCCACTTATATCTTTGGTGGTGATATTCATTTTTTGCTTACTTCTTTGTTTATCCAGGCCGCGTCCCAATACTTTCATTGTATATTTTGATACTCTTAGAGACTCCAGATTGTCCTTGTAGTTACCTTACCTATGTCTAATTTGGATCACATACCATATTATGTTACTTTTGGGGATGATTGTTGGCATGGTCCCTTTATGAGACGCGTGTATTGAGTAGGGGATTTTCAGTCTTCGATATCTTATAAATGTGATGTGCGTTGAAATATTGGTGCCTAATATGGTACTTAGATTATGATAGGGGTTAAAGGATACAGGTTCATTCGACAGGGAATATGCTGTTGTATGTCCGTCACAGCCCCCTATTTTGAGTTGTGTGTACAACAGAGATAAATCTATTTCATATTCACCGGAAAGAGGTAATGATGATGCGAATCTCTAGGAGTTCACCAGCGTAATTTGTATGGGTGGCTAATAAGGAACTGGAAAAGCTGCTGGAACAGTGAAACGAAAAGCTTTTGGAAAGGTTGCAAAAAGTATGACATGCACAACGGGCATAAGAGGCAGTGTGGTTGGACATTCCAACAGATAATATATGTAGTGTCATACAAATGGTCGCAGCAAAAGCATGGTGTCATGGCAACATTTGCCAAAAGAGGCTCAGTGCTGTTAGAATAATAACTGTAAAGCGGAATGGTGCTGAAGGAACAATAGCCAAGAATGACACACAGAAAATAAAAAGAACTTCTGAATTACAAGTAATGAGGAATCAGGAATGTTTCTTAAATCTTGGGATGCTTTACTATGACAAGATCATTATTTTTAATAATTATTATGAATAATTAAAAAATTATACACAATTCTTTTAAATGATTCCTAGACTTTACACTAGAGGGGGTATTTCCCAAGAAGTATTGAAAAGCCTACTGTGCAGACGTTTTTACCACAGGCTACTAGGATTATTTATCTTGGAAAATTGATCTCTCGGAAACAAAAGGGATTGACATAATGAGACGTCTTTGCATTAAAGTTAATGCTTCTTAACTGGTGCATCAAAGAATGTTAAACTCATTATATCAAAAAAATCAAAAGGCTCTGTTATTGTCCTCTAATAACACAGTTGGAGCAACCATCCGCCATTCACCACATCCCTCCCTCCCAAAAGTAAAGGTACAGAAAAACAAAGAGAATAGAAAGAGTATAAAGTTTATAGATAGTGCTTCATCATAGAAAGTTTAAACATAGTTGCTTCAACACACATACCGCAGACATACATATGACAAAGCAGCAACATATGCTGAACTGGGCCCCTGCTTAAGAACATTGCAGACCAGGGACTTGTAATATCCAGAACCATCTTAGTGCACTCACTTTCCAACTTACAGCCTTTTCTCTTTTCTTTTTCTTTTTTTTTTTTTCATAACTACCAACTTACAATCTGTGTGAGCACTCACTTTCTAACACCGAGTTTTCTTACCATCATATAATGCATACTTTACCTTGTCGCACCATCTTACTGTTTTACTGCTCTTACTTTTTTTTAATCCTTGATTGTAATGGTAGTGCCGTCCCAAAGGGCAGTCTTACGCACCCCTGGTGGCTGGCTTAGAAATTAGATATCTAAAAAACCACCGAAGTGGTAGTTCTTGACTGCTCTTACTAATAAAAGTCTTACTTCTCCCCCAAAAAAGAACAAGGACTACATACTTTGCCAGAGAACTTGGAACAAAAGAAAAAAGATAAAAGGAAATATTCCTCTTCTGACCTGTCCCCTTATGAGCATTTCAGATTTCTTCAATTTCTTCATAGCATATATATTGCCTGATTTCTTCTCCCTGCATAAACGAACCTGCAGAGCCAAAGTATCAATATTATATCAAAAATAGGAATACATCTTCATGAATTGCTAGATTCAGATTTAGGGAATGCATCTCTTCCCTTCCAGGGTAGGGGTAAGGTTGTGTACATCCTACCCTCCCCCGACCCCACTTGTGGGAATACACACTGGGATGTTGTTGTTGTTATCCTTTTAAACAAAAGATGTTTTTTTCCCAGAGGCCACAGGATACTATTTCTATTAATTCATCATAGCTTAAGTAGTAGGTATTGGAAGAAGAGAGCCAGTTTTGATTTGATCCTGCATGAGTTTGAATGCATCTACCAACTTGGACCATGGAAGTCAAGTGCGAGCAGTATGGTTTTATATGATTTTATTAATATCATGAATCGATATAAATGTTTTAAAGGGTTATATCATGATTTACATTTCACTTGCCCTTTAATTTATATTGATGAAGAACATGAATTTTTTGATAGAACTGCTTACTGTTTATATCAAATATCAGTTGCATTAATTTTTATAAAAGTCTTGTCTCAAAAACTTGAGTTAGAGAGGGTTTATTGAGTATTGTGACGGTGTACTCAGCCCATGCGGGCTCCCCCTCTCCAAGGCCCCGCCTACTTTATATGTTTCAGGATGAGCCATGGTACGTGCCATGTGGATTGGGCTTAGAATGACTCTGTTTCAGGTAATTGATGAGACGCCACATCTATTCCGTGGCAACTGATATGTTAATTTTTATTTTCTTTTAGTCGGGAATTGTCCCGGTATTTATTCGAGGCTCCATAGATAGTTGTGAAGAGTTGTAGTAGTGAGGTTGTATACGACATACATGAAAAGATATTTATTTTGCTTGGTCTCATTGTTATTGTTTGAATTGGAAAAATGTTCCATCATTTAACTTGAAAATATATATGATTTTCAAAGAGTTTCCGCGATTAAATTAGTTTTCATGCATATGGTTTGGGTGCATCATATGGGTTGGTTCGCTTGGGTCGAGTAGTGGGGGTGTCACGAATTTGGGTCGTGACAGTTGGACTCGATACAAAGGTTAAATTAGTTTTCATGCATATGGTTTGGGTGCATCATATGGGTTGGCTCGCTTGGGTCGAGTGGTTTTGGGGGGGTGTTACCGGTCACCAATTTGGGTCATAATAGTTTGACTCGACACGAACTTTAAGATGGATATGAAAACTTTTGAAAGGTATATGAGTAGCAGTAAAATCTTCTCAATAAAGGTAAAATGGAAAAGTTAAAGATAAGTGTTCCAAATATAAAAATGTGTCATTCTTTTTTGAAAGGACCAATGAGGAAATAATGTTTGATAAATTGGAAAGGGGGAGTAATAATTATACCTCAACCTAAACTAGTTAATGTCGTTTTTTTTCCATGTAATTTCAAGTCTACCTAATCCCTTTTTACCACCTTCGGTCATTATAGTGTTGCACTCACAGACCAATGCATTGGAGGTCTGCGTAAAAGGGGAGCCTAGTGGACAAGGCATCCCGCGTTCACGCAGGTCTGGGGAAGGGTCGCACCCCAAGGGATGTGATGTAGACAGCCTAACCATACCCTAATGCAAGCATTAGTGGCTGCTTCCATGGCTCGAAACTTGTGACCTATAGGTCACACGGAGAAAACTTTACCGATGCTCTAAGGCTCCCCTTCATTTTTGGAGGTCTACGTAAAAATGGCAAAATCATGATGATAAGTTGGTGTTTCACCAACTTATCTCTTCTTTGTACTAAAACTTTTATATGATTTTATTAAGAAACTAAGGTATTTGTTAAGATTTATTAGCATATTTCTGGTATTACGTGATTTAGAAAAGATACAGAAAAAAATATGTCAAAATGAGTTAAAATGGAAAAATTTACTGTTGCCAGATATTGCTCTTTGCGATCACGGAATGAATTAATGCGATTGCAAACTTCATGGAAAATGTCCATCACGAATGCGGAGGATGAGCTGCAAACGCGAAGAAGGACGAGATGGTCAGCGGCTGGTCAAGTACCTTACGCGATCGCGAGTTGGAAAGATGCGATCGCGTCCGTCTTGGAAGATGCCTATCAAGAACACGAAGACCTTTATGCGAATGCGATGCAGAAAAGCATGGCCAACGGCTGGTCAAATGGTCAACATGAACACGAGATGCAGTATGTGATTCCGATCCTTTGCAGTGTTGTTCAATGCGATCGCAGGACTTTTCTTCGGGATCGCGATTCATATAACTGGGCAGAAAATCTAGACAGAACTGTCATTTCACATTTTTTGCACCCAAACCACTTAATACTCGACTCAGCTCATTTTGGAAGATATCTTTGGCAGAAAATACAAGTTTTGAAGCTAGGGTTTTTTGCACCACGCGTGGGGGTTGAAGATTCGAATGAGAAATTTCTTAATCTTTCACTCGTTTCTTCAATTCCTTGTTAAGTATTAAATGTCTAAGTGTGTAGCATTTTATTCCATTGCTTGAATCTTGTTTAGGGAACTATTCATCGTTAAAGTTTGGATTAAAACTCTTGTTATGCTTATATATTGAATGATTTTTATTAATTATGAAGTGATTTAATTGTTTCTTTAATTATTCTTGTTCTTTAATATTTCCAAAAGGATTAACTAACCCTAGGACCCGCCCATTAACTTCGAATTAATCTTGGACAAGGCAAACTCGGAGTTTTGAAAGATTAATTAACAAGAACTTGAGGCATTAGTCCTCATTTTATAGATTCTACCTAGAAATAGGATTGAACTACTTGTAGCTATATTCAAGTGTACCTAATTCTCTTAATTATTTTAGGGATAATTCAGTTACGAAATCTTGTTAATCTTCGGAAGAAGCTAATATAGAATTAAAATTCGCGGCTAATTAACATAAACTCGCTCATATTTGTAAAATCGTGAAATACATTGTATCGTTACTTGAGTGTAATTCCGCTTTTATCCATGCTTGTAGCCATTGATCATTTAACTTGCTTTCTAGGTTAGTTTATATTTCCGCATTAATTATAATATTTTCTCAAAACCCCCTATTAGTGTTTGGCTTAGCATAAAAAGCGATAATTCTCTTACTTGCCTAATCGCCTACATATTGTTCCCGTTGGGATTCGACCCCGACTCATAGTTGGGTAAATTATGTTGCATGCGACCGCGTACACTTACTCTTTGAGGAGTGAATTTGGACGTCATCACATGCGATCTTGTCTCATCCCATCCTCTATGTGTGCTACTTGCATTCACAGTATAATGTGATCAGTTGCCCAAACTACAAACAATAAAAATTAAAAGGCCTGCTACTTGCACCCTATGTCTAATGTAATAGTTGGCCCAAGCTACAAAGGATAAATATTAAAAAACCTTTGAATAGATAGGCAGTTGGAATGGTCGCAGCTGGAATGGGCTACTGAGGAAAGCAACCACACTGAGATTTGATTGGTCAATAGAAAATAAAGGCAACAAACCTAGTAAACATGTGATTGGGTTTGGGTCTATGGAAGAAGTGAGTAACAAAGCTTAAACATTCTAACTGCTACAAACTAGTTTCTGAGGTGCACTATTTCCCATACAAAAAATAGACAACGGCACATGCCAGGTGGGAATATCATCTTGCAGACTTAGTGGGCTTATGAAATAAGGAAATCATCTTTATTTATAGTTGTGATCCGAAAAGGGGTGTGATAGACTGACAGTAGTCATGTATTATCCTTTAGTGTCTTGCTTAGACTACAAGAGTGAGCTTGAGACAGCAAACTTTTCCATGACTTACTGTTATCATCTTGTCCTTAGCTAATCATTTATATGAATATAATGCAATTGAAAATGGAAATTAAAAGATCATGAAAGAGAAAAAGATGAACTACCAGTATTTGCAATAAACAGATCACTTTGTTTAAATGGGAATAATCACGAACCTCGCCAAAGGCTCCTCTGCCAATAATTGTTAGAAGCTCAAAGTCATCCACGCAAATCTTGTGCCTCCTCAGTCTCATATACTCTGTCTCCTTACGCTCTAGATCCTTGATCAGATTCATCTGCTCCTCTTTAGGCACATCTGAAGATGCTAACTTTCTCTCTAGAATCCAGCGCCTATTGTCAGTCAATATTGTGTTAGAACAAAGGCATACTAAGATCTATTCTAAATAAGACTAGTTCGGGCATATGTAAAAATGCAGTAGTGAACTTCAATAAACAATGATAAAATGTTGTTGAAGTTTTATTAAAAAAAATGTCGTTGAAGTTTAAGTTGCTACCCATGGATAAACATTGCAAATGTAGGTTGGTATATGCAGTTAAAGCAACAGAAGGAAGAGGCACAGACAACAGAAATGACATTTCCAGCATAATAGGGACAAAAAATGTCCTGGAATGTGGCAGACAGGGGAATGAAAAGAAAAACTTTCCCAAGTCAATGCTAACCTCAGTGCTCAAACGACACAAAACAAATTACAAGTGAAATGGTTGATGCATCGTGGAAGACTGTGCAAGCCTGCCCCACATCTCCAGAAGAACATGCAAGAGGAAACTTTTATTCACGTACTGTTGCCCCAACTTTAAGGGTCATTCGGTTCAGAGCAGAGATATCCAGGTATTGTAATCCCGGGATTATAATCCCACATCATATATGGGATAGCTAATACCAAGATTGTGGTATAAAATTCATTCTGGTATTAGCTAATACCCACAACCAAATACGGGATAAATATAATCTCATTTTTATAACGAGATTAGTATCCTTCTCCAGGTAATGTAACAATGCCTTAACATTTGCCTTTTTTCCCTTTTTTTTCCTATAATAAACTTAGATATGTCAAAGGAGTTAAGACAATTGTGCAGCAATTGCAACGTCAATGGGTACTTCAAGAAGAAAAAAAATGGAGATTTAAACAAAGAGCACAAGCAGATAAAACAGCTGAAGGTACTGTGTGGCATGAGAAGAACTGAGAAAGATTGGCTTACAACTACAAAAATATGATAGACACCCCCATCTAGATGTGTATTCTTTTAAGAAGAAAATAAGTCAATGTGCGTCTCCAGATTCCCAGCATTAGTATTGTAAGTTCCAGACATTTAAGATTCACTTGTTCTGGAAAAGGTAACTGAAATGAACACTAGCCTTCCACAGCAGTAGCATTATAAGTGACCAATTTCTTATCACACTGTGTAACTCAGACAATCTTATAATAATTGTAGTTGAATTAAGGTATCCATTCAAAAACCCCAAAGCTACTACACTACAAGAAAGATACCTAAGCCAAAAATACTACTCTTTTAGTCTCAGATTGTTGTCAACTCTTCTTTAGTGTGAAATTTCGGTAGCTGGACGAGTTTCAGTTGAAAATAATATTAAGAGATTTGAATATTACAAAGACACTACACTTGATATATTTTTTCATTTTAAAATGCAATATTGTCCAAAACGAGAGAATCACGGTCTAATTTTTACACCCACTCAATAGGTCCACCATTATATCCATCCATCAAAACCTTTCAAATATAACCTTCAACCTTTGCAAAAGATTATTACAGCGGGTTCCAAATTCTAGTCACAGTAAAAAATCATTCCAGTGAACAATGTAACAACACATGAGATTATTTCCTGACTCATCATAATGTATCTTTTTTTTAATAAATAGGTAAGCTCATCCGATAATATATGTTTTAGTTCTCCCACTCATACTCCTGTTTGTTTGAGAATGGAGGAAGTAGTGCTCCTAAATGTATGACTGATTGTATGCCCAAAGGAGAATACTTCTGTTGCAAAATCAGTCAGGTTATCTTATCAATCAAAAACAAAGTCAATCAGGTAATCTTCCAATTCAACAAAAGCACAAGATAAACGGATTTTCAAGGTGTTATCCAATATACTAGACAAGGAAGATGGCAGAATAGAAGATTTCTAACGAAGGATCAAACTCGGAAATCCATATGTTAGTGGGAGGGGATTTAATGAAGGAAATTGATTCTCGGGGAAAAATAAGGAGGGGTCACATTTTGTGCACGAGAAAGTGACGAGGACGAAACAAATAAGCGCATATAGTATATGCTCCAATGATGATGAGCAGGGACTTAGACGGGTATTGTTTCGAATATATAAGAAATCATTGTATAAAGTGAATTGTCTGGTCAGTTGTGTTGTGAGAAGCCACCCACATGCTGCAGAATTTTTTCAGCGACCAAGCTAAAAAGTTTTATCGCGCTACAAGAGCATTTTGGAAGAAGCATTCCAAATATTATCGAAATATCATGATGTTGTGAATGAATTGATAATGAGACGTACCTTCACAAGCTTTTCTTTTCTGTTTAATTCCTAAGTAGGACTTTAGGTAGTAAGAGCTTTAACATGTTCCTTCAGCTATTCAGTGAACTAAATCAAAGAATATGGAAGAAGCTTTTTTCTGTTTAATTCCTAAATAGGACTTTAGGTAGTAAGAGCTTTAACATGTTCCTTCAAATTTTCAGTGAGCTAATTCCAAGAAGAAGAAGATTAAATGGTAAAACAGGCGCGTGTATTTCACCACAGAAACATAGATGTGGTTGTGGCATTTTAAGCGGGTACTTTTTCCACTTCGGAAATGACCAAGAGGGTTAATAGGAGTCCTGCAAAGTACAAGTGTATAACTGCAAATAGAAGAGAGAGAGTAAGAACTTCAAACGAAGCTTTGTCATCACCTAACGTGCATCTGCCCTTGACAAGTTCCATGCATGTGAGACAAGGAAGCACATAGTCGCTCAACATGATTTCCCTAACTCCCATATTAGCTTATCATTTCCTTGTCATTTTTCATTTTGTATTATATATATCCGGAGATAGTCTTATGGTCCTCTCACCAAGTCAAAAGCTAGTCAATCTCAACTTGTAAACTCTAATCTCAACAACTAACCAGATTAAAAGTATAGGCCTTAACATAGATATATACCCCCAATGGATAGCTGATTAGTGACTGGTTAAGGCATAGGAGTAACAACCTAGAGACCCCAGTTCAAATCTCACTTATACACCTATCTTTGTGGGAATTTGCCTGGACACTGTTGCTACCCGAGAAATAGAGATTTGAATGACATGAGAAAACAATTACTTATCCTGGAGTCACCCCACAAATGCCAGATTCCATTTTACGATAGTGATGTCCGGACCAACTTGTGCGCACCTCGACTATTCCATTGTAGACCTGCTACCTTCCACCAGCACAGGCATCGGGTAACTTCTACTTACCAAGGCTTTTAGATGAGAAGAAACAATGACCTAATTTTATTTTTTCTGCCTTGGAATTTGAACTTGAGACCTCGTGGTTCTAGATTATATATCAGAGAAACACTCCCCTATCTCAAGCAGCTGATGCAATTGGGTCAAATTATTTCCGCACAAGCAATAATCAAAACACCCAATTAACTCATTTATATAGTTCCAACCATGAAGACATACAAACCAAGGACATAAATACTATCAGTAGATCTCGACGTGAAGCACAAGCCAATTGACTCGCAGCAAAATCAAGTAAACTTGCAGAAAATAACATTAGAATATTCTCAACAAAAAGAAGGAAAAAAAAAAACAAATACCTCTCTTTGCGGTCTTGAATGCTTTTCATCTGAGTCTTATAGTGATTCTCAATAAATTGTTTAGCAGCAGCAACTTTCTCCATTGTTAAGCTTGAACCAAGTACTTCCTCTTGCTGTTGTTCTTCCTCCATTCTTTCTCGCTCTAACGTCTAAACCAACCTCTTTCTCTCTCCAGAATTCGTATATAGAGAAACGCAGTTCAGACTTACATTCAGCAGTATATGCGGAACGGGGTCGGATCCCCTGTACTTGACAGGTCCACTCTACTACTACAGGCCTTTTACTTAGACAACTAGCCATTTATTACTACGTTCTGTTTGGAATGTCCTTTTTTTGACGCATATCTTATTCATTTCAGAAGAAATAAATTGTTTTTATAATTTAGAAAAGATAAGAATATTTATGTCGATATAAATCATCTACTTCATTCGCTCCAATTTATGTGACCTTTTTCTAACTTATTTTTGAAAAATAATAATATTTTCTTATATTTGGCGGTAACAATTTAACTTTAAATATCTATTTTTTTAATAATACGATTTATAGCAACGTAAATATTTTTGACTTATTTTAGATTCCTAATTTTAAAAAAATTTCTTACTCAGTCAAGTATAATTACATAAACTGGAATGAAGAGAAGATTTAAGGATAAATAAAGATCTTACAAAATTTAAATATGAAGATTTCATTTTTTAAACATACTAAAAGAAAATATATCATATAAAATCACATATGGAGCATTTTTTTGTTACTTTTAAAATTTTTCCTTTTTACTCTTTGTAAAAGGAATTTAAAGGTAACGGGTGGCTTTGGAGAGTGAAGGAGGGAACATGGATGATCGAAAATGAGAAGGTGTCGATGAAATTGAAATTTTGTACTTAAAAGTGGTATAAGTTGAAATTGCAAAAGAGAGTTTCTTTCCGGCCTAAGTTTCGGCGATGCATTTTTTCTCTCAGTGCATGGTAGCTTAACGTGTGCATCCATAGGGAAGAGGGCACGAATTCCACCTCAGAAAGCACTAATGGTGCAAGCGTCGTCATTGTTGGTAACTACAAATCAAGGAAGGAAAGGAAATCAAAACAAATTTGATGTGGTAGTGAATCGGTTACCGAGGGGTAAGGAAAACACACAACTGGAGGAACAATTGAGGGACGAAGAGACCGATTCACATGTAAAAGTGCAAAAGGAATGGGCTAAAATAGTTCAATCGCCGTCGAGCAATCGCAATTTGTCTTTGGGCAGAGGAAGTGGAGGAAGTAGAAGAGACAGTGCCTAAAAGGTCAATTTGGGACAACTTCAATATCGGGAAAATCTCGAATGCCGGTTTCAAAATGAAATACATCGCTCCTGAAACCCACGGTAAGTCTTCTATTTGTGTACTTGACGTTGAAGATATAAGTTCTGAGCTAGATTACTGAAAGTTGACAGTAGTTTGCTATGTCCTTGGGACACC